GTGATGCAATAAAACATTAGTTTCTTAACAAAGATAAAGAGATTCCGGTACCGTGGTCCTTGCTGCAGTTGAACCAGCCACCCTCCAGTTCCAATGCCGCCACAAGGTAAGGTAACGTAGAGGTATTCATGGGACAAAACGAACCTGTGGAAAACATACCCCCCCAAAATTGTTAAATTGATAAATTATAGAAATGTATAATTAAAATGATTAATAATAGACCTGATCCCAAAGATCCCGAAGGACGGTCAGGACCAGTTCGAAAAGAGGATGAATGCACCTGAATTAAGACGTCCAAACCGGACCAGAAAAACCCAAATAGAAAGAGAACAGCTTGCTTGTTATCTTTGTTAACTATTTGCAAAAGAGAGGTTTGTTTTTACCTTCTTATACCCATGTCATTTTTCACCTGTGAAGACAATGACACATCATGTGAGCAGATCTGATAGCGACTTCACTTAGATCCATTCAGGGAGTAGACATTGAAACATAGACTCCAAACCTGCAACAATAAAATGGGTATTTATAAGCTCTGTCCCCACCAAGAATCATCAGACTATTTCAGAACAAATCTTAAATACATCTGCAGATATTTTCCCATGAGGTGGCTTGTAAGTAGCCTCATATTATGGCAGATACCCAAGGACAGTCCCCCCCCCCAATCTGTAAGTCACTATCAAAGATCATTGAGCCATGCATCTCAATGAGGGCCAGATTGATTGGTTGGAGGGAAGCGGAGGCAGGGTTCGATCTTTGCCCTCAGGTCCTGAGAAGGGAAATATGGTCACAGGGACACAGTCGCACAGCTACCCAGTCCACTCTCCATTAACGAGATGATTGGACACATAGATGCTGAACCACGCCCGCACCTGATGGAACAATTGTAGTGACTAATGGAGAAGATGAGTGAGAGAAAGAACAAGAGGGAGAGGGGAGAGAAATTGGGGGTTTGTGTGCTGATTGACCTGTGGTCAGAGAGGTTATGTTCATTGATCTGTAGGGCAGAAGAAAAGGGCTTTGGCCTGAGGTGCTTCAGAATGAGTCTATTTGGGGTTTAGGATTCCTGTCCATTCCCACCAGGAGCTTTTTCATCATCTGACTCCCCAGGACTTACAGCTGCCGTCTCACGTTGTCCACGTAATGCTCAGAGCACTACAGAGGCCAAAGGCCAATCAATGTTCTACAAGAGGTTGATACAGATCTTATTAGTCAATGAATGATCATTAGTGGTCTAACGAGGCATTGATTTGTGCAAGGGCCAAAGGTTGCGGTGGTTGTGGTGAGTGTCTTTAATACATTAAACACAATTGATTGCAGAGTAGGAGGGATATGTTTGAAGGATGCTAGAATTAGATTGGACAGTGAGAGATTTGAGGTCAAGCCAGAAGAGGAAGTGTACCTTCATCGGCCGTTGAATGTGGTTAGGATTGGACATGGAGCCTAGCAGCACATTTGTCTTTTATGTATTACTGGTGTAGCAATTCTGCAATTAATAAAAAGCAGATATCTAGAAGTACTAAGTCAAAGGCAACTGGACTTGCTGTTTCAAAGGCTGGAACAGCAGTCTTTGAAAGCTAAGGAAATGACTCTGCTCATAGCAGATGTGTTACTACAGGGCCTATTATGTTGCTCATTAAATACCCAACCTCTCAATAGGCCATTATTTCCCCAATAAAAAACAAACGGCGGCCTGCATACTTTCCCCTCTCCCCCCTCTGCTTCAGAGGTTAGTTCTACCTCACAGACGGCAAAAAACCCTGACTAATATCCTGCATGTGATGCTTTTAAATAGGAAGCAGGCCGCGGGATAGGGTGGGGTACAGGTGTGGCAGGAGCCAATGGCTTTTATAGCCCTCCAACTCCTCTGAAAGTATGCCAAGGACCTGCCTACACAACCCACCACTGCAGTGTTCGCCGCCAAGCGTTAACTTTACTCCCCCCGCCAATCTCTACATGCCTACTGGTTATATAGAGTCTGTGCTTGTTATGACTTTATAGAGGGATTTCTGATGTGCTTAGAGAATTGTTTGATGATTGGGATAATGATGCCAGTTGGAGTGAGTTGTCTCAGCACTTTATCGCCAGTGAACACAGAGAAAAACAGACCCAGCCAACGCAAAACAAGCTCCACATCCTCCCCTGGATGGTGGCTCGTCCCCTGCCATTCAAAGCCGTCCAATCCTCCTCACGTCAATCAGAATTATATCACGTCCACAGGTTTGTCACCAGGGGGACGTTCGTCACCATGTCTCCCCTGCAGAACAGCCTTTTCATGCCCCAGCATAATGTCAACGGGTGACATCCAGGCCTGATGTGATGTGGCATTCACTAAAGGTCACGTTAGGCATCTCCGCTTCGTCTGCATCAGCAGAACTGGCAGCCGTCATATGGGCGCTGGCATCGGCCATTACCCAGGCCTCCAGGGGGACTCGATGCTTTGAGGATTTGTCAGCGGGATTCTGATCTCTCTGTTTCAATGGCGAGCACTGAATACAGGCTAGTCACAGTCCATGTTTTGATGCAGAACAACAGAAACTGGATCTGAGGACAATGATATCTTTTTTGTTTTAAAACATGAACTTTACTATCTTGTGATGCTCTTGATAGCAGGGATGGGGCACAGACGTATCGCAGCGTTTTGATGGGTTATTCAACCCCAGGGTGTGTGTGTGTGTTCTCTTCAAATCCACTGGGAGATAAGATAGAGATTGTATTCAGGAATGTTTGTATATGTCCATTTGAATCCTTTCTGAAAAAAGTTTGTACAAATTGATTTTGAATTCAGTTTTTTTAGGTTTTCCAGTTGTACATAAAAGCATCATTGTAAAGTGATTATGAAAATGGTTTAGTCCGCTTTTGAAATGAAATTGTGCCATTCTAATGCACACATTTTATTTCATCGGAACAAGACTTAAATACAGCCAATGAAGCATCCTCCCAAGTGGGATCAGTAAGTGAAGAGAGCAAATGGCAGCTAGAGAAAGGCTAGACATCCAGGAAAGGAGGTCCTGAACTGGCGAGACACAAAGACAGAAAAAGGAAACAATCCGAGACACAGACACAGTGAATCCATTAGGAGATGGGCCAGTCAAACCCAGCACAGCCCGGCGAGAGAGGGCCGATCCATCTGAGCCAGTTGCCGTAGTGAGGGAACAGTTAACAAGCCCCATAGGCAGGTTTTACAGCCCCCTGTTGTGTGTCTGAGACCCCCCAGGCTGAAGAGGGGCTGAGGCTGACTGATACTGACAGGGTTTATATGGGCGGGGGCGCAGGGTAGTGGGGGGATGGAAACGTGTAAAAAGGTGGTCACGAACCAACAACTGTCACTTACGAGAGTACAGCACAAACACCGAGTCAGGTCTCAGCAAAAGCATGTACACACACACTCATCCATACATCCAAACATGCCTACTCCCACACCAATAAATCGGATGTTTGTGTGGAGCAGAGGTGAAGGGTGGGGGAGAGGCTGTAGTGAGAAGAGGGGGGCTTATCCAAAAAGTGGACCAATAAAACACCTGAAAATCAAATCCAATTGCTCTTATCGCGGCGCCATTCAGAGACGTTATCTGTGCAGGTAATGTGGTTATAAATTCAATTTCAGCCCAGAGATTTCATTGTTTACTGATGCCTGCATGTTCCGGGCGGCAGAGCGCAGAAAGCCCGGGAACGTTCGATGCGTGTCGGGAAAAGTCATTTAGGCTTCCGCGAGGGGATGCAAAAAAGGCGAGAGAGAGAGGGGGGTGAAACCAGGAGAGCTGTCACTCTCCCAAGGACACCCGACTCCGCTTTCTATTTTCCACCCCATGTTTTATTTAGAGGCCATTTTGTCCTATTTGGTTCCTCATTATGGGGGCTCATAGCTCAACTGATGTCAGGGGACGGCACTTGCCGACAGACATCGACATCAGAACTCGTCATGTCGCTGGTCATTTGGAATGGAGCTGGGGAAAAGTGTTGGTCCAGTGTTTGGATAATAGGGTCCTGAAGGAAGTTCAGTCCACTAGGCTGCACACTGAGGGGTCAGAAACTGTCAAAAATACTAATCTGTTTGTAATGTTCTATATTTTAAAGTGCTAAATTGTGTTTGCCAGCCTTGTCATTTGTTTTCCCTTGACTGTGCAGAGATGGGAAATTAGGTGCATCTTGCCTACTAGCTCTCTACATGTGATTGATGGCTTTCAGGAGTAAATCACCTCATCTACTAGGTAAAATCTTGATATAGTAGAGCTCCTCCGGCTCCCAGCTGGCTGCTTATGGCAGTAATCCATCAGTGGGGCCCAATGGGCCGGGTGGCCCTCCTGGGTAATGTTCCTATTGACAGCCTATGATGTCAACACTCTGACAGCAGGGGGCCATAGCAGTGTGTCTGTGTGTTTATGTGTGTGTGT